GCATGATCGCCAGCCCAATCTGCGTCAGAGTTTTATCCACGAAAGTACAACGTGTCGCCGGGCTTGAAGCAAAGTCCAAGTGACTTCGTTCCTTGTAGGTAGCGAAGAATTCGCTTGACCGCCATCCAGTGCTCTTCTTGTGGGTTCTCCATAAAGCGCGAAACGTAACCAACAGAAAACGCAATATCCGGTCGTGTTGCGGTCATCAAATGCATAAGAGCACCCACTGCTTCACGAAACGAAGCGTTTAATTTGGTTGTTAATCGGCTTGGAACGAGTCGAGAGCTTAGATCTGTTGGACACATCACAGCCTTACAGTCACTCATACTAAAGCGCATAAGAATGTCATCCATGTAGCGTCACTGGCACATTATTATACTGCCGTCATCGTTGTCCACCAGCTCGATACCCAAGACAACTGCACATTTTCCGCTGTCCGCCATCTCGAAGCGTGTCTTCAAGTCATTTTTAGTACGAGTAATTTGTTCCTTTGAGCCTCCGGTAATCAGAACAGCATCCACGTACACTAGTAAAGGTACGCAATGCCCGTCAATAATGTTGATGTAGAGGCATGGATCGAAGTCACATTTTTATAAATCCAATGGAACATACGTACTCGTCGAAAGATGCATTCCATACACGCGAAGCCTGCTTAAGTCCATATATAGCTTTCATCAACTTCAAGCAGTTGTATTCATCATCGAGTTCCATACCTTTTGGTACCGCACAGTACACCACTTCTTTCATGACACCATAGAAAAAAAGTCGTCACAACATCAAGCTGATCTGGTGACCATCCAAGTACTTGGTCAAGCTGATCACCATGCGCAGCGTGACATACTTGACAACAGGAGAGAACATCTCTTTGTAGTCAATGCCATACTTTTGCTTGAACCCTTTTGCCACAAGGCGTGCCTTATATTTCTCGATCGATCCGTCAACTTTGCGCTTTATCTTAAATACCCACTTGGTACCAATAGCGTGCTGATCTGTTGGCAGTTTGGCAGCTTGAAACACATCGCGAAGCTGCATCGAATTTAATTCGGCGCGGATCGCCTTACGCCAATGAACTTGATCTGGCCCACCAAAGCATATTGAAAGGTCGTCGGTTCACACAAGTCACTTCCTTCGACTGCATTAGCACTTGCTCGCCAAAAGGCAAGGGAAGTGGAGTCGCTTCCATCTTCATCCAGATCAGTTCGAGCCCTAAGTCGTCGCTTTACTCGATGCGCCTCGAAGTCATCTGGCCCACTTGCTTCCTCCAATTCAGTCTTCCGACAGGCTTGATCTTCATCGGAGGGTCGACTTTTGCGCTTTCCTGTTTGCCTAAATTCAGTTTAACGACAATAATTACTGATATCCAGGGCATCAAAATCCAGCGTAGTGTCTTCGACGATTTTTACTGAGAGCATCGGCAAGAATCCAAAGTTCAATTTATCAAATGTGACATCGCGAGAAACCACCACTTTCCCCGCCTTGATGTCATAGATTCGATATGCCTTTGACACTTCTTCGTATCCCATGAACAGTCCTTTAAAGGCTTTAGGGTCCCACTTAAATCGTTTTTCCTTGGGGGTCAGTACATACGCACGACATCCAAAGACTCGCATGAGTTTCACGCTTGGCTGGTGTCCATTGATGATATCAAATGGGTTTTGATCTTGGCACTTCGGCGATGGTAGACGGTTCTTGATGTAAATTGCTGTCATGGCCGCTTCAGCCCAAAAGAACTTGTCTAACTTGGCATAGTGAAGCATAGTACGACCAATTGTCACGATCGTTCGGATGTCGCGTTCTGCCGTGCCGTTGATCTGGTGCGCATACGGGACCGTAACTTGCTGGTCAATTCCTTTTTTTCGTGAAACGTTGTGAGGGAAGTGGCCGCAAATTCACGAGGTCCATCTTGACGAACAAACTTGATTTCGCATTGAACTGCGTCTGAATCGCCATGATGTACTTCTTAATACACGCTTCACTGTCCGACCTGGCACGCATGAAAAACCCTTTCATGCATCCATTGCCTTCGTCAACGAGAAGCAATAGGTATTTACTACCGCCTAGTGAGTCGATTTTCATGGGGCCAAACGTATCAATGTGAAGCAGCTCGAATGAATCGAAGTGACGCTTATTGTGGTTGCTTGGAAATGGTCTTTGAACCATTTTTCCTTCTTGACACCCATAGCAAACACTTGATTCTCTTGATGTCGTCGGCATTTTGGCATCCTTAATCATGCCATTTGCAACCATTTTGCAAAGAATGTCGACCGGTGCGTGACCCATACGCGCGTGAAGATCTTCAGTTCGCTGCCGACATGCCGCATTTGCAGACCGTTGAGAGGTTCGAAGCCAATAGAGCCCATCTACAACCTCCGCCATTGCCACCACTTGCCTGGTCTTTTTTACGTAACGTGCATCTTGGTTCTTTTAAACATGACTTAAAACTTTCCGCTCTTGTTAATTTGTGTAACTGACAGCAGATTCTTGTTCATACTTGGTACGAAAAGCGCATTTTTAATCTCTAATTCACGTACGTCACCGTTAGGTAAGACCACATATTCAACGATGGTTCCGATACCCTTTATCGCAGCCTAGCTTCCATCTGCGACTGACACTTCACCTTCATCATTCTCAGTGATATCTCTGAATTTTGCCTTGTCATGGCATATGTGGTGCGTGGCACCACTGTCAATTGCCCTTGTTCCAGGCATTCCTTTACCTGTCGATAGCCCACAATCTAGTGACACAGCAAATGCCACTCGATCATGTTCATAGTTATTGTTATAGCCCTTCCACTATACTTGGTTGGCTCCACGTCCACGAGCTTTCCCGCCGCGTCGAGCTCCTCGATTTTCTTCCTTTTGCTTAGTCCAGCATTGCTCCACCGTGTGCCCCAGTTTTCCGCAAAAGGTACACTGGCGAGACTCATATTCGGTGCTAAAGGCTTTACTTGTTTCTGCAACTTTTACCGATGCCGTCTTCTCACCTTGCCACATGATGTGCTCATTCGTGAGCACCTTCACAACGTCTTGCGTACGCAATTCCTCACTGCTCATCTCCAGATTTAGCACTACATTCTCGTAGCTTTTTGGGAGACTGCGCAACAAGCAGATCGCCACATCTTCGTCTTACATCTTGGCCCCGATGCTGCGAAGCTTGGCACTGATTTCATGACTTCATTGCAGTGATGCAATACGTTGCGCCTTCCACCATCTCCAACTGAAGAGCTGGAGCTCTATATAAATTCGTCCAGCCTTCTGCGATCCGCTGTAAAGTGTCTTTAACCGGGCCCATTCTACCCACGCTTCCTCGCAATTGTCGACCACATGATGGTAGTCTGCATCCCTGTGCAGCAACATCAGGTCAAAAGCGTGTTGCTTATCCTGACGTACTCATCGGACATACGAGGGTCCGTGAAGGTTGGGGTAGTTTCCCGGTTTAGCAACGTGACACGGTGACTTGGTCAGGAACACGCCACGCATGTAGCGATTCCATGTCGCATAGTTGTCCCCATTAAACTTGTCAATGGAGACCTTGGTCGTCGATTCTTGGCCAGAGGACATGGTACTTGGGCTCATAACCTGTTAGGAAATGAGAACTTGAGCGAAACGTAGAGAAGAGAAGCTTAGAAGTCAAAGCAAGTCTGCACTTAAGTGAAGTCTGAACGACTTGAGCAGAAGAGAGAATATTTGGTAGTGATTCATTTATCGTAGCTTATTCTGTCTACTACATGATCTACATGTAACTTACATATATATCATGTCAAACGTCTCCTCATCCTATGCGTCTCTTCGCGTAATCGGATTGATTTCAGCTACCCGGTTACGATACTCTGTATCTTAACCGGTAACCTTCAATAGCAAAATGTCGTAGCTTATAGATAAAGACATTTATAAATTCTTAGAAGAAGCCAATTTATTTGGTTGCTCACTAGGGTGTCCACCCCTCGATCCGACGGAAAAGTGCGCGCAAATAGATCTAATTATATAAAAAGGAGTGAATGTTGGTCAAAAACAGCCTGTAAGCAGAAAATAGCTGCTTACAGGCTGTTTTTGACCAACATTTTCAGAGGGGCCTTTCATTTCCTCTAATAATTCTAGATAATTTAGAGTCTTAAAAGGAAATGAAAGGCTCCTCTGAAATGTCTAAATGATTAAATATTCGTAGCTTGCATTGTTATCAGACCTCCCATTCAGATTCATGTTCATAAATCTGATTCATGAGGTCATAAAATTAAATCACGCGATAATTCTGGTTCTCGATCCATGACTCATGTAATTTATTGACTAGAGACTTTTAATTACCGTTTTAGACTCTTTACAAAAATAAATGATGTATTTAGAACTCGTTAAGAGCCATTTAATTGGATTTTTTAACCTAAAGAAAACCTTATTTCCTGTAAAAATTCTTTCAGGCAAACCAATGCCTCAGTCAACCTATGAGCTCCTGTTCCACCTCGCGACTTTCGTTTCGAAGAAAAAGATTTTTGTCAAAGGGGCACTGATGGCAGGAATGACCAAGATGCTCCTGGCATCATTGTGTGAGTGATATCATTTGTTCATTTCAATATGTCATCAGCTATAGATACATTTCAGTTGACAAACTGTATATTTGTCATGAATCTGAATCATAAATCAGGCCGTGATTTATGTGGAAATGATTCGAATTGGAGGTCTAATTATTATGCAAAATGCTCCAATCTAGATAGTTTTTGCTGCAAAACTAACCAATCAGATACTTTAAAAGGACCGCACCGACAGACAGAGGGACGTACACTATTCTATTATATTTGTTGTCATATACTTTTTGCTCGGAGCATATCCTTCGATGGACGCTTGGTAGTCTAAACAAAAAGAGAGATCTAACAAAAAAGTATTTTTAGGTTATGTACGAATCGGGCCATTTGGAAGATTTCTTTTTCTCATTAAACCAATAAAGCAGAACTTGAGTTGTGTGTACCTTGTTGTGCATTGAATAATCGAGCCACGAGCTACGAGTCAAAGATGAATGAATTTGATGTCGACCGTCTGATTAAACAGATGGTGAATTTTATTTATCTGAAAACGCAAGAGAAAGCCAATGCGATTCGCATGAAGGTAAAAAGTCGCTGAGAATAGTTGTTTTATCGTATTTAGGCGGGAAAAATACAGTAAAGAAGCAAAAACCAATGCTTCGTATTGAGGACTCCTGGACATTTGTAGTTTGATTTTTTACTACATGTAGACAAAGCATGATTTTTATTAAGAAAACAAGCAGATGCTAGTGCATAACGCTAAACGTAAGCTTTAGGAAGAGTACAAACGCAAAGAGAAGGAGCATGAAGTAAACAAGCACATGGGTGTTAGCTGATACTTTATGTTTCAATTGTTAAAACCAAGTTTTGACGGTTTTATTGATATGGTACAGTGCTCGGTCGGCTGAAATTGGTGCTTCATGACGACCAAAATGATCACTTAGGACGAGTTACTGAAAACGCTTATTGTAAAGGGGTAAAGCCCGCTGAAGAACTACACGACCTCGGACCTCAAAGATATGGGTTCTTTTACGTGACCTCATCGTCCAGAGTCTGGTCAAGCTATTTGAGACAGATGTAGTGGTCGCAGTACGTGCCAAAGACGTGGAAGTTGCTGAGATGGTAGTTACGGAAGCCACGGACAAGTACATTGCTACGATGAAGAAGGAGGCTTACTTGGACGTGAACGAGGTCAAGGTGACGGTAAACAAGATCGGTGACGGCATGTTATCGAACGCCAAGGCTGGTGGTGTTGTGCTATACGCCAAGCAGGGCAAGATCGTGTGTGACAACACGCTGGACACGCGCCTGGACCAGATCTACTACGATCTGAAGCCAACGGTGCACAATATGTGTAACTCTGGATTCTAAAAGGGAGAGGCGTCATATCCAGGTTGATGGTACTGTCTGGAGGATACACAATACGGTAATCTAGTCGACTCGGAATGAACACTAAGCCCTAGCAAGGTTTGTGCCATATTTTTTGACTGTTTACGTACGGCATGCTTGCAATTGCGTTTATGATGATTGAAGCAGATCTTGAAGTCTCCATTGTTGCCATTCTGCGCCTTCTTCGCTTTTTTTGATACCAGTAGTAAGCAAGACAGGATACGAGTCAACATCTGAGAACAAAGAGCTAGTCTCAGGCATCCACATCGCCGAGTAGGGCCCGTACGCAACACTCACGAGATGAATCGAATCAAGCTGTGTACACTTGAAATGCCAGTCAATAGCACGCTGACCATCCAAAATAAGCTCCCATTGGGATGAATCCCCTCGGACAAACTCGACCCGTAACATCAAGAAGCCCAGACCAATGCCCACCGCCTTAATGTATGCCTCCTTGAGCGACCATAGTTCATAGAATCGGGTATATTGAGTATCTTCGTCCTCCACATCGCAAATGTAATTCCACTCCGTCGGATTAAAGTGATCAGCAAAAGCTCGAAAAAACTCCTCGGCTGACTTCTTATAAAGAGGTCGGTCTGCTAGTCGGACAACATCTACGCCAACTAAAGTCCGAGAATCGCTGACAATTGCCACGATGGTCCCATGATGGGAGACATTGTAATTCCACAATGGAGGAGCGAGACTTCCGGTCGGTCGCCTCCAGTATGGTTTATTCTGCAACAAGTAACGACACAAGTAATGACACAACTTATTATGTGTCTACTACCACTAATGATACGCAACATTATCCATCGACCGCACCTCAGGAGTACGTTGTATCTCGATGTTCTCGTAGTTTACATGGAAGAGTTCGTGGATGAGCTGCCGCTGCAGCAAGCGGCTCGCGAGTGCCAGCTTTTGGTCTTTTGCAAACACAAAGCGTGTCACCTGCTTTTGTTCATTTGCCGGGAGCTGTAGCATAAGACGTTGCCAATCCGGAGATGTTGCCTTCCACTCGGAGACGTCGACGAAGCGAAGACAGTGTAATGGTGACATGGGTAAAAGGAAAATGAAAGTGACGACGATGAGTGGAGTGGCTATGTCAAAAAGTGTTACATTGGACAAGTTAAACAACCAAAATATAGAGACCTTTGAAGCGGAAAAAGACCTACCGTTTGCACACTTAAGTAAGCCAACTAAGTCTCTCAAACAATCAAGTCCCGTAATTGCGTCATGCGAATTACGAGGTGATTGGCTGTAAGAGAAGGATGGATGTCTATATTGCTTCACTATTTCTCGCTCAGCTTACATCCACACTAAGATGCTCGCTGGTATCAGCTGGTCTAAGTCAGAAGTTGACAATCATTTGCTTGATTGACGTGTCTTACGAAATGAAATCTACAGTAGACTGTCAATTGCAATCCAGTCGAAGATAATGGTCGCTGGCGTGCCTCCATAGCAGGTACTGTAACATGGCGGCAGTGGATCGACTCGAAAAGTGTCTGAATTAGTACAGTTCGTCGCCGTGACCCGGTAAGTCCTGAAAGCGGCTTCATTTTTGTTCGATACTACGTGTGCAGATCACCTGAGGCAGGCCAAACTTAACGGTGCATCCTACTCGTGTTTTACTTGTTGCTGCTGTTACGGCTGCTGTTGATGTGGTGCTGCCGTTTTATTGAACGTTGTAATGCCGACACAAGCGGCATTTCGTCGAGCCGGGTAGAGGATGTCGAGGAGCTAGGTATTTGTAAATAGACGTGGTATTGGAAAGGCAAACTAGCTCTCATAAAAATGACACAGCTTTCCAAGGGATTGATCGGAAGGTGCTGCCATTCTTTCCTTTTTTTCAATATAATTTTGATTATTTTATTGATAGCAAACTCTCAAATTCACTTCATTAGAGGCTCAGAAAATGTTTGAAAGCTAAGAATAATGATGTTATACGTACCTCATTTGTCAACTTGTTGAAATGTGTAGTTTCATGTAGGCCTCCTAATCAAATCATTTTTACATGAATCACGCCTGATTCATGATTCAGATTCGTTTTTCTAGAACTGATTCATGATTCGAATAGTAAGCTCGTCAACTGAATCATAAACTTTTCTTATTAGAATAGACGAACTTTGTAAGCCCGTTACATAATTTGACACTAACAATAAGTGGTCAATAAGAATATTACAGTTAATAATATTTGAGATTATCACCTTGTCCTAAAATATTTTGTCCCTGCTTCTCCTTAAAGTTGAAGATGCCCTTTAATTGGTTGATATAGGCCGTTATATTAACCAAGGCGCTGACCAATGACCGATGGATGCGCGCAATGAATGAAGGGCACGAGGATAACCAACATATTTGTATTATATATAGTTTAGACAAGGTTATAAATGATTTAGTTTTATTAGATACTTAACTATATTAGATACAGTTCTCATTTTCTCTACTTCTAAGCGTGTTTTCAGGAAGTAAAGCTTCCTCTGTCTCTTTAAGATCAGAACCTCGAGGCACCTGCTTTCACTGTTATCAGTGAAGGTTGATTATACGAAAGAATAATCAAGAGGGTGCTCCATTTCAAACTTGCTCCTGACATCACTCACACAACGATAGCCTTTTGATCACCACATTTTTATACTCCCAACAAAACATATGATGTATTCAGATCTAGCTAAAAACTAATTAAAACGGATGATTCCACGTAAAGGAAGCCCTGTTTCCTGTAAATTTCTTGCAGAAACACCAATGCCTCAGTTGACTTAGCGGACAATGAGCTCCTGTCCCGCCTCAAGACTCTCCTTCCGGAGGAACATACTCTTTCTGAAGGGGCACGGGGGGAAGGAATGTCCAAGATGCTACTGGCCATCGTGGCAACGGTAGGGAATTGATAATGGTTCATTTTCCACCATGCCAGAGAGTCGGTGGTCGATATACAATCCTTAAAGCCCAGTACCTGTTTATCTTCTCCACGTATCCTCAAGACGATGATTCATCCTCTATTTGGCTGCCCCATCCGAAGATTTCCTCCTTGAGAGACGACACCTGATCTCCAGTTGATTGTTTCCCCGACGCTGGTCCCTCTTCTTGATTTTTTTATATAAAAATTGCACATTTGCAAGAATCCCAGCCTTTCCACAATCTGGAAGCAAATATCTTTGAGCTGTTCTCCACTGTGGCCACCTAAATGTCAACAAAAAATTTCAGTATGTCAAATATTAGACATTCAGCTTGACATCATGCTTACCTTTATTTCACATCATGCTTACCTTTAATATTTTCCAAAGCGAAGGTAATCCTTTCCATTTCAAATTCTGTGCTGATCCAGTGGCTTGTCAGGCTCATAGAGGCGTTCCTTCTTGCTGGAGTGCTTCAGCAATCAGTCCATTCTTCAAAACCTTTTCGGCCCAGTGCTACAAACTGACCAGATGTAGCTGAAATGCCCATAATAGCGTCGCGTCTGCCCTTACCATAATATTTGGAGTTTTGCAAAAGGTTTTTTTCGACTGTGTTGAAAGCCAAATTCAATTCAGCAATCACCTGCAGCATGGCAGTCTTGAGATTAACCCGTGTCTAATCCTATTCAGACAGACAGATAATTTTTTGTCAAACGATACAGTGTGGCGTGACGCGTCACTCTCTATTTCTGAAAATATTAGCTTAACAATTGATCCATTCGAGGCTTTTGACAACAAAGAATCCAGGAACATGGTGCCAGCAGGCCGAACAATGCCCTCACTGCTGATTTTATGCTCTTGCCGGAAATGCCTGTTAATATTGCTCTGGCCAGTACCTCCCCTGATCACGAACTTCCTTACACAGCTTTTCAAGACGGAACATTCGTATGTATTCTCTAGGACTCCATTTTTTCTCCTTCACGAGCTCCACATGATCCCAGATGGAGCTTTTCTCTGCTTCCTTTCGGAGCTGACGGCACTGCCATCCTTAACGCCGGCTTGCGTTTCTCCACGGCCCAGGTGACTAGCACTATCCGAGGAGTAAGTTTCCTGTGACTGGTTATCCAAAGCTAGTTTTGTGTGTGAAGGTAGAATGACTGAAATGGTATAATGATTCCGGTTAAGGAGCTTTTTTTAAAAGGTAGGGATTGGGTTATATTAATCATGAATCTGAAAAGGAGGCCTCGTTTCATGTCATCGTTTTGACAGGTTAGCCTCTAAAATGTGGTCTAAACCCATGGAATCTTACTATAAATTTGTCACCCAAGTTTACAAAACGATTAAGCCCGGCGTTTGGGATAAGTTAGGCCGAAGGTACATAATGTAAACGGTCTCTAGAATATGATAAATAGTTGTCATGTATGACCTACAAATTTAGGTAAGAGGCAGTCTGACCCAAAGCTGACCGCAGCATAAAAAATTCAAGGAGAGGAAGCTGTGAGTAATACTCCGCAGCTACATCTGGGTATTTCACATGCTTCAGCAAATAGAAGCTCCGTTCGATCAATCACGTATAGTCGGGAGGTCACAATTACACCATGTAAATCGATGATTGGACCCTCTCTTTTTAGCAACAGTCGTTCAATCAATTCGAAAAAACATCGGAGTAACGGTCAACGCTGATTTATTGTCTCACAGCATACGGTCAATCATGCGTACGTACCTTTGTTTCTAGTGGATACTGTTATCCTGTAGACGGGCACTTCAACAAAGCTGCCACTTGGTACCAATACACATCTCCAAAAAAATCAGAGGAAGCGATTAGACCGTCTTACCTCCGCGTGCGGTGGTGGTGGTGTTGTTCAGCCGCTTAAAGTGCCTAACCAGCTGTTGCCGGCCGCTTAAAGCGATCCGCGCAACGAGCTTTAAAACAAGCACCTACCTGCGTCACGGAAGCTGTTTCCAGTCTTCCTGTGCGCAGTGACTGTGATGTAGTAAATTCAAGACTGACTTATATTAAATAGAATTTACTAAATATAAATCTAACTACTGATTGGTCAAATATAAAAAACGGATACGCGTCTCTTTAGAATCGTATCCTTACGTGCGAGCTTAAAACATTTTAAGCTCGATGATGACTTTCGTCTGTGACGCCATCATGACGCCTAGTCCCAACTGGCGTCATCCCCGTTGAATGTGAATCCATCCATGGATATCACATTTACGAGGGTGTTCGCATTATGTGCCTTGGGAGGTCCATGGTACCATGTAACCTATTAGAACTCCCCGTTAAGCATCATATACTTAGCGAGCTCGTGAAACTAGATGCCCTGTTACAATTCCCTTCTTTAAGACGATTTTTACACTTTTGTAAATCATCGACAACGAGACGATGCCGCCGAAACGTGATAAGGCTGATGGGTCGCCTGCAAGGCGCCCATGCAGACCTTCACAAAGCGCACGCGCCTCGATAACTCTCAGCCGTCGCTAAGTGTCTCTGTGACAACGCCGACATATAATGTCACCTTGTCAGCAGAGAACACCGATCCATCCCACTATGGTGCGGGTAAAGACTTGTCTCTCATTGTTTACTACAATGCGAGCACGTCATTGCCATCATACCAAAGTGGTGGTGAGAACAGTGCTCTGATGGGACATTTGTTCCCATCATTTGAGACACCCAACTTTCAGGAAGCTTCCATGCTTCCTGGCAGCGAGGGTCATGTCTCGTCGTTTGCGTCAACGATCGCAGCGACCACAACTGAGCGCGCTGCTTCGAAATAAGTAGTCGCGAATCAACAGCAGGTCGGCGATTCAAAATCGACCGCCTCTATCAACCCTACGTCTGACGTCTCGACAATCCATAATGGAGAGTCAGACTCAGGCGAGGGTGAGCAAAAAGCTCTTTCTACTTCAAAGTTGACCTCACTAGCACGCCGTCGCGAGGTCGGCTACGTGAGTGATGGTTTGCCACCAATGCCACCGCCATACAAGTGGTTACACGCGAGTGGAAATAGTGCGATTCTCCTAAAGCTGCCACTATTGACGCTAATAAACGTTTTAGCGTCTGTTCATCATGGAAAAGGCAGGGCAAAGCACGAGGTCGTGCTTTCTCTATCCACGTCGTGCTGCGTTCTATCGAAACAGCCGATAAATACGAGACAAAGCTAC